CGCAAATTGCAAAAAAATTGTTATAAGGGTTACGACACAGCGCATCCAGTGATCACTCGAATACAGTGGTTGCGCGGTTTCTTCCAGTGGATAACCAAACGGCGAAGAAGCTCCTTTTCTTCTCGCTCCTTGATGGTTATGGCCCTCATGAAACACCCGGCCGGCGCATAAGTATGCGCTGCTGCAGCTTATTACACGTATAAAGTATCCGATTTAACGCGGCGCTTTATCTTTCTTTCATTTCTTCTTTTCCGTCTTCCAGGGGGTCGTTCGCGGTATTCCGCACCACCTGAAACCGCTACCGGCGGTTTTCCCTCTCGCTTCCGCCGCGTTTCGACTCTTTTCCCGTGGTATTTCTCTTTGTTCCCCGGAGTGCTCCTCCTGACCTCTTTCTCCGTTTCGTCTGAGAAATAATTTAATTCGTATTATGCCGGTTACGAAGGCAAGAAGGACCGCGTTCCCTCGCCTCGCCACGGCGTGTAGATGTTTCGCATTTGAAATCGAGAGAAGAAAGAGGAATTCGCCCGGCGGCTCTTTTCACGCAGCTGAAAAAGAAGCGGCTCGGGGGGAAAAAAAAATAGAAGACTCGCCGTTTCTTACAGAGAGCGATCCGCATTACGCTACAAGCGAGATGGCGGCGATTCACGTGGGAAAATAAGTGGAAAAATATTACATAAATATAGAAAAAACTCGATGAGCAACAGTTGTACAAAAACAATTGTGTAAAATTAATTCAGCACGACAACGAGTAACGTTCTGCTTTCAAATTGAATTTACATTCCACTTTTATCTTCCACGAAATTAAAAAAAATTGTGGATACGAAAGGGAGGGAAGTCGATTAATCAACGAGGAAATTGTTTTTCGATAAGCTGCGTTTCTGCGATATAATCTGAGTAGGTTCCATGGGGGCTCAGCGGTTAGAGTCGCGCCTCGACGTGAGTAATGAATTCTCATCAAATTGACTCAATTTAAACGACGATCGACGAAATTACCGAAACTGCGTTACTAATCCTGGCCGAGCGTCTCATTTCTCTTCGATGACAGCCACTGCGAGTTCGTCGTTAATAACTCACGATCATTAATTATCAGGCTCCTATTAAACACACGCATGGCACAAAGAGATAACGCGTTCATATCGGATTTCTCTATTCAATCAATAATCAGTGAAAATGAAATACAAACTTGCAACCATTATTTACGCAGCCTTAAAATAATAGTATAAAATTTCCATTCAATTGATATCCACTTGAAAGTTTGAAATGCTATTAGACGCATATCACTACTTAAAAACAATTTTTCCTTTTTCTTGCCTCCTTAACTTCGGTCGATTTTCTCAATTGTTATAGTTTAGTTTGAAATTGGCTTCCCATCCCTCAGGCAATCGTCTGCGGAATTTTGAGTAGAGTAATTTCTGAAAACGATATTCCCGTAGGTACTCGTTGACTGAGTAATCTCTGGTTAAACGGGAATGTGTAAAAAATTAAACGAACTTCCGCGGTAGTTGATGAAGCTTTTAAATAATTAATGAATCCGTGCAAACTTCACTCGCTAGCGTACGATATAGTACAGTCGATAGTACTTATGTACTGTATTATAAACGGTGCATTTATAACGAACCGGGTGTGCTTAGCGTAGACACTGCCGAGATTACATACTACTTTCCGGTTTAATCATGGACGCGTGCATGCGATCAGAGATTCTAACGGCTTCTTTATCGAGTCGTTTAGTCGATCTATTCCTGGATAGAAAATATTTATGGATTTACTAGTCATACTGTAAGAAGGTTTCTTGACATTTGAAGGCAGAAGGTAAATTCATAGAAACTTCGCTACATACTACTTTTAGTAATATTTCTACTATATTAATTATGGATTGGTTTGCTCGTCGAAAGTGCTAATAATTTCAACAAAATCAATAAGTATCTTTACCAACGTTATTTTATTAAAAAGAGACCACAAGTAAGAGTTTAAAAAACTGGTTTGTTCATTAATATTCGTTTCTTCTTAGAGAATATTCATAAATTGATTAGAGAAATATCACGAAAGCTTCTTATCGATTCTGTGTTTTACTGAACGAAGATATTCTTTCGTTTAATTACCAAGACACAAATTGCTGGATCCACTCGTGTATCCTGGCTGTTTACGAAACAACGGGGAAACATTTCCTCGAGACTCGCCGGGAGCTCTGGAGAGAAACGGTTCGCCCTTATTTCGACGAAAGCAATTCCTCGCCGCTCTGGATTCACTGACCCCCTGTGAACAAGCGCAACTTTTCCACACATACGGGGGCAATCGAATTACGAGAGGTGTGTGCAAGATTTATCGAAAATGACGAGCAAATTCCCCAGCAGATTCGATTATAACCGAGAAAACGGGCCAAACCATATTTACGTCAACGTTCCACGGCACACCTATACGACGGACAAACTTTTATCGCGTGAAGAATTGCCCATGAAAGATGCAGGTCGCAGTGCTTTGCGTTGACTGTTTTCTCGTTGAAGAAGTTAGCGTTCCTGCTTTTGTTTCTTGTCCCATTTCGAGACACAGATTAAAGAGTTACCATCTCCGATTGTGCTCGAGAATTATCGAGACCTTTTAATACATTCATTTGTTAAGTAGAATACTATATTTGGCAGCTATGTGATAACTTTTGACACTAATATAATTCATAATTTCACAATTTAAAAATATGTTACGTCACTCATACGTAAGTGACGGGTCTTTTCATTAAATTGTTACATAAAGTAATTTTCAAGATGAGATTTTAAAGAAGATAAATCTAGATAGGATTCGTGACTTTCGTGAGTGGTCGAAGATACAAAGCTAATGGTGTCACTAGTTCGTGAAACGATTCAGGTGTCCCTGCAATTTCGACCATACCTACCTAATAAATACAAAGGAGGAATTAAGAGGAGTAATCGACCTTATTTGCACTGTAGTTTCCTACGCGAAAAAAATTCCCTTGTTTCTGTTCAGGGGCGAATGAAACAGGATAGAATGCCGCAATAGGACAGAAGTAATTCCAGTGTCCGAGACGGTAGCGTAAACCATGTGCAACCGTACCTCTTCGGAATAATTAAACACTACGGTGGGCGCGCGTGTCTCCACGTTGGAACGCGGCTAGATTGCCCTCGTAAAATCTGTCTCCTATGGCGTGTAGGCTTGCTTAATAAATGAATGCTCGGCATTCGCTGAAAACAGTCCATCATTCGCTGATCTAGAGAGAGGTACGAAGGGGGATGGAGCAGGCAAATTTAGCGCGGATAGGATCCTCGAATGGCATGGGGAGCCTTTGCGACCTCGCGTTCAATCAGGCTGGATCAATAATTCTTGGAACGTATTCGTGATACCGTATTCGATTAATATAGTCGCGAAACTCCTCGCTGCTTTACGACTTGGCGCAGTATCTACGATTATTTGATTAGATACTCCAGTTGAAATAATTTGAGGGTTTCCCAGGTTGCGAGTTGTTTCCGCTGTATACACAGAATATTTGATGTAAATCCTATGGTAGCAATCCTTAGATCTCTTCGCTCGGATTTTGATCATTATTAAACAAAGCTTTAAACATTCAACTTTGAAAATTATTTAATTAGAATTTTTGAAAATCTACAGTTATATAAAAAAAAATAAACCTGCCAATTGTAAAGATTACTTAATGCTGACATGCCATTAGGGCGAGTAATTAATCTTCCACAGTAGCGAATAAAGAGGATTTCCATTGGTCCATTGGATGACTCTGAAGAATCCATTCCCTGGTTCTTCTCGCGAACGGAAAGAATCCGTTGTCGACCAACGGCGCTTGACTTACTTATCACCTGTCCCATTCCACGACAGTAACATTCGAAGTTCCGTTTGCTCAAAGTTTCGCGGTGTCGTGGTTGCGTTCCAATTCCTGAGAGACAAACGACTCCCTCTACTCTTCTCAGAGTTTCACTAATTCTATTTCATGAGCCACGCGCGCGGAAAAGTTAAGTGCGTTTATCGATAACCCTCAAGAAACGCTTTCTATATGGAACTGTTTCCCCCTTGAAACTAAAATATCATTCTCTTTTTTACAAATACTATCATACCTTTTGGTACAGTAGACACGTTGGAGCCTTACAGACGGAATGCACTGCGTTACCGAGCCTTACCAACTTAGTACACTGTCTTACCATCAAAGTGCACTACCTTGCCACCACTACCCACTTCCTTATCGATACAGTGTCTTGTTTTACCTTGCCTACATCATTATCTAATCTTAAGATAAATCGTAGAATAGATAGGATATTCAACGTCATCGAAGTCTGCCCTTTGAATCGAAAATCCGTGGAATCAAGGTTTTATTGCGCTATTTTTCTCTTGCTATTTTTTAGGGTGTTACTTTCAAAAGGTTTAGAGATCCCTACTTCACACGGTGGCGAATTCGAACACTTGACCACGATCAAAGTACGGATCGAATTCGACTGTGTTTCCTGGAAATTGAGCGATTTCGATACAATCGCTTCAGCCATCGATGGCGTTTTCTGGAGGTGGGCCCTAGGCACCCAGTCTCGCGTTTTCCTGCAAATATTTGACGTAAATTGAAACCGTCCAGCGCGCAAAGCGGCTTACGCGATGCGTAACTCGCGAATAGACTCCGGGAGCGGAACCCCTTTGTTCCCCCTTAATAGAAAGTTTTTTGTTTCGCTGTTTGCCGAACCGTGGCACATAGAAAAAACTGCATATCGCCAGTTTCCCGGTCCCTTCGGTCTCATAACCGGACAGCGAAAAAGCTCCTCTTTGTCCACCAGTGCATTTTTACGTCGCAGTTTGTCCAACGAAATGGGATCGGTGATATGCAGTCGTTGCATTGAATTATTTACACGTAGCTAGTCTAAACGTTGCGGTTGGATCGTGGTTGTCGATCTTCCACGCTCTATCAACACGATTTTGCGCCAGTGACGCCGATAGAAATTTCTTTGGTTCTTCTCAATACCTAGTGGTAAAAAAAGTTATATTTTTCTTTTGTGTTTCAGAACATTCCCTTGGCAAAGTGACGCTCAAGGCGGTCACGGATTTCTCGCTCCTGTCTAAGTTAAGGGTAAGTCTCCACCTAGATCGTTCAGATTAAGTAAAACAGTAGAAGTTTTTAATATTGTTTATTCGACAAGGAAAGCCTCGCATACAGAAACGTCGCTTTAAGGTTTGAGTTTATTTTTGAACGCGAAATTATCCCATTCTCGTTCCCACCGCGGTTTTCGCCTCACCTTTTACAAATGGCGCTCTAAAAGTGCAGTATTTCAAGTTTTTCATTGGAAACGTCAGGGGTCCACTTTTATGTTTGAAGAAACAACTAACTTCGTCGAAGGAACAGTAGAAATGTCAAGCAAAACGCGACGAAGTAGAACAAAATGCTAATACCACAACTGAGTGGAGTGGAGGAGGAAACTTCGAAATTTATCGACTTTATCGTTTCGGATTAAGGAAACCGTTGGATAAGAAACACGACGAACTTCTCCAAGCAAATCGAAACTGTTGGGTAACAACGCCATTACGGGCAAACGAAAAAGCTGTAGACGGAAATGTATTCGAGTTACGAGTTACGAACAGTTTCTTCAAACTTTGATAGATATTTTTTGTGTAATTCAAATCAGATGTATCATATTTCATTAACTTTATATCCGGAAACACTGCAACGCGAACGATAAATCACATCTCTGTCATGTATCCTAACAATGTGATCAACGAACGCGAAATTTCAAAGTAATTTAGATTCTAGTTGTATGTAAATGCAGTAGTCGTCGTGGGACGTGCTGTATATAAATTCCACGGTACCTAGAATTCGGCTCAAGTACCGCTTTCTAAAGTAACGGAAGCTAACGATTTGAAAACTATTGCACCTCGTTGCATCGTGTCGCTATTTATACCTAAATACCACATTTTGGTAAATAGAAACAAAATTAATAGTCGCTACGAATGATTCGCGCGTCAACATCAGTGGAAACTTGGACACGCCCACGCGACAGGGTATCAAAAGACGAAGCTCCGTGGATCCAGTGAAACATCCAACGACGGCGACGTTGCTCGTGAATTTTGCAACGTGAATGGTTAGGGAAACATTGCGAGCCCCAGTCGTGCCTTAACTTTCTTGGAAAATACTGCGTGTGCAGTAAAAAAGGTGGTCCACCTTTCGATTTACCCTCGTCGAAGAAACGACCGCCAGGCTCGTTTGGTGTAAAATAAACTAGCGTGGAAAAATGTTTTATTTATATTAAAATTCTTTGTAATAACTCTATAGTCTTTCGAAAGGTAATTCCATAAATAATCGTTTGATATAAAATGAACTGGTATGGAAAAAGGTTTTATTTATATTAAAATTCTTTGTAATAACTCTATAGTCTTTCGAAAGGTAATTCCGTAAGTAATCTCTTCCCCACCGAAATTTCGATTTGGGAAAAGATGGACATCTCGATACACACAAGGGGTGATTTCTGAATATTTCAAGAAATCAGAAGTTTCTCATTTGCGCTCGGTGCTCGATTGACTGGCACGTTCTAACCGTGACGTGGAAACATCAAAGGATCGTGTCGATGAGAAAAGCGCCTACCCCCCGCCCAACCCCTGTGCCGCGGGGCTTTGAAAAATAAATTTTGCTCCTAGCAGCTCGGTATGAAAAAAAGAAAGAAACGTTCCTTTAAGTCGCGGCGGAAAGTTTCCTACCCGTGTGCACGGTTACGGGGAGAAAAATAATTAAAGTACACGCGAAATAAATTTAAACTCTGCCTGCAGAGTCCTGGGCAATAGTGTTGGACTAGCCACATTTATTAATAAATTCATGTTTGCTTTCTATTTTCGGTTTTACAGACATTGAAAGAATAACTTAGAGAAAGATCTTTTAAAATATACGAAGCAGAAATATATAACGATTCGTCATTTACAAATATAAATACACAACCAGCGATTACTTCAATCATCGTCAGCACCAATCAAATCAACCCTTGAACTCTGTCCATCGCCGCAACAGCGACAGCGAAAGTTCGAAGATTTCTCACGAAGTTAAATTCGCATCAATACTTCGGTCATCGACAAATTTCCTCCCGTTAATTTCATCGGGAATTCAATCCGTAATATCGACAGAGGATAACCCTGTCGCGAATGAAAAATTCACGGAAGAAAATCCTGGCGGCGCAGTCGAGACGGCAGTTTGGAGAATTAATCTCGCCCAGCCTAGCACTGCGATATCTTTAACGAGCTTTCGATCGACGTCCCCGAGACGCGAGTTTCTCCTTTATAGTCTGTGCTCGCGGATGATTTACGCGATCGTGCGACTTATTTGAAAAGTTTACGCAATTTCCCAGCCGCGACACGCGGTCTGTAAATATTCAGAGAGCTCGAAACTTTGTTGGGATAAGGTGGCTGCCGGTTTACTGGAAATCGTGGCGAACTCGTGCTATATTAGATGTATTTCGATATCGGAAAGAACACAGGACGATGTGTTATTTTGTATACTACCGAACTTTCATCATAAATCCCGATAAATATACTTGAATAACGAATAATTTAACCCTTTCCACTCTTAATTATATTTCAATTTCGTTACCAGCAGCTCCCATCGCTTTTAAGAGATGTATTTGAAATTTACTTCAACAACAAAATAAGGCAATTTAAATAAATAAATAAAGAAACAAAATAAATTAAATCGATTGATACTTCAAGCAACTCGATCAAATATGAAAGACCTTTGTTCCGGGCAGTTTCTAAATCCTTCTGGGCAGACGTCGTCTGTAACTGGGTTAATCGTGAACGCTAGAGGACGTAAAATATTCCAGTGAACAAACCTCGGCGGAAAGGGATCGCCCACCAGAGACGAATCTTTGGAGCTGCCGTCTTTACACGATCCGTAGGGGGGAATTAAATTTCGCGACAAAGAACATTGTTACTCGCGACGTTATTCGACGCTTGATTTCTTCGCCGTTCGCATTCAAAAGTCGTGGGAGAAACACACAAAGTACGTTAATCATCCGTGAAACTCGTCCCAGCCCTGGGAATCAGACATTAAAGGAAGACGATTTCGCGGCGAGATTAAAATGAATTCCAGTTTGTTGTCTTTATTTTGTCGTTCCCGCGATTATCGTTTAACTTCCTGACTCGCTGGAGAGATATATTGCTGATAATTGCACGCTGGAAGAAGTGCTTTTTGTCTCTTCCGACTACGTGCTCCCGCGTCATTCCTCTCGAGTACGAGAACGAACGTTTCGCCGTTTTACTGAAAGAAAATCAGCGTGGACATGCCATCTTCCGTGCGGGAGGGATTTAAATCACGTATACTCTTGGTTAAATGACCTCGCAACCGAAGATTTCAGTTCTCTCATTATCTGGTCCGGCTGCCATAACACGCTCGTTATCGTTTCATCGTAATTTTCGCTGGTGGTCACAATTTTTTCTCCGGCTACGAAATTTTCTTCTTTTTTTCACCGTTAATAGCGTCGAGTTAAATGAACCCACTGCGGTCCGCGAGTTCCTTCTGCCTCGGTTTGACGAGGGCTTGATCGAATTCGTACAATTTTCATTCGCGTCATCAGCGCGTACAAGGTATTAAAGGAGACATGCACCCTTTGTTTTGCTTACGTTGGTATGCAGGACAATGTGATGACAACCGTGTGAGCACAACATCATCATACATCGTCATACGTCATACATAAAACATGATGCGACAATCATTATCGCTCACCAGCAAGTATTGTATATGAGTATTACTCAAATATAAACCGGGCTTTTTTTTATACAGCTTTATTATTAAGATAGATAAAAGTCCAAATGGATTGCTTTATTTTTCTACGTAGATTCCTTCAGCAGGAATACATTTTCTCCATCAGATAGGAAGCTTTCTGATCCCATCATAGAAAATAGAATTTAGCTGCCCCAGTAGTCGATTGCGCACGTACAATTAAACTTGTGAATCGCTTTAGACTATATCACGACTTGTGACGAAATGTGGATTCATCACTATACCCGAGAAAACAACAGAATGAGTATGGGGTGGTTGAAAATTAAAGATAGTGTATTGATCAAGGCCAAGACTCGAATGTCAACCAGGAAAGTTCTGGAAACAGTGTTTTGGTACTAAAAATCCTTCAGTGGTACACTGAAAATATATTATACACGTGTAAAGTGTATTCATATATATATATTATGAAACATTGATTTGGAAACATCAAACCTATTATCATTTAATTTAGACAAATTTCTTCAATAGACATAGGGTACGAGTACTTATGGGACTGACTGTACAAATCGATACAAATTATTGAAGACTCCGATTATTTCCAGCACAGTATTTCGCGATAAATCGAACCGCGTCTATATAATTTCTCATTCTACTATTCAGGCAATGTTTTTTTTCCCAGTTATGGTCTCATTTTCAACCCATACTGGTTTCAATCGAACCGAGCAAGGCGATCTCGTAAGAATATCCCAACGCTCTCGTAATCTTAGCAATCCAATGATAAATACCAGGTTTCTACCGAGCGCAGCTGCGTTTACTTTGACATCCGTGCACTTTATATTGTATCTCCTCGCTGTGTTTACAGATAGAGGGAAACAGAAATTATGGCCTCTGCGGTTCAATCACGTCGCGGCAGTAACAAAGCGTGGACACTATTCTTAGCTTTCCGTCTACGGCGAGGAGCGGTGAAATAATAACAGTCTTCCCGCGATAGGAAATGGCGCGAGTTGAATCTTTAACGCGAATTAGTTCGCGACGGGAATTAATGGAGTTGAAATAACGTTGCTAAAATTATTCAGTTTTAATCGTATCGGTAAACGGCCAGAACGGCCAATGACAACGTGCATTTAAATAAAAGGGAATCAAAATTGAAGGAAGAAAAATACAGTGTGCTAAACTTGCGTAATAATTTATTCTCTTTGAAAGTGGCGGTTGCATTTTTCGCAGCTTCGAACTTCGTTATGACGTTGCCTGTGATACGCAATTACAGCGCCGAGAAATGCACCGTCGTGTCGATCACATATCTCCTCTACGGACGTGTTTGAAAATGAGATCGCACAGAAGGACTGGATAATTTCCCTTGTGTAAGTGTATCC